TTGTAGATAACCCCTAGAAATTAGATTCGTAAAAAGGCATTTTGAAAGTTATTGGGGGTTTGGTGTAATAATCTAAAAGATATTGGGGGTTTTTTACAAAAGTTATTAGGAATTTAGTGTGATTTCAAAAGTTCATAAGGTATATTTACTGCAAAATGCTAAAAGTTAATGAGGGTTTATGTAATTTACCTTATTTAGTATTATAATGCTTAGTTCAAGTAATACTACTAAAATAATTATACTATCTATATACTGTAAAATATTTATCTAATTTAATTTTTAATTATGCTCTTAAATAATTTTGTAGTGTAAATATTTTATAAATTTTTATTATACTATCATCAACAATTAATAGTACTATTATTAATATTAAATAATTCTTTTGTGTAAAGGTTAGTTTTTAATTATTTCCTACTATAGATTATTTAGTATCATGTAATAATCTTTGAGGAAATACTATAAAAATAATATTGAATTATTTATTTAATTTATTTAATAATATAATACTAAACAAGTACTGTAATTCATAATTTATGTGGTATTATTCAAATAATTACACTATTTATGCTATTAAATATTTATTCTATTTATTTTATTGCTCATTGAATTATAGTATAATTCTTAGTAGTATTTAGTAATACATTATTCTATTTATATATATATTTTTAATTATTTTATTATATTTCATAAATAATGATTATAATTATTTAATTGGTTACTACTAATAGTTGCGTATACTTATTTTATAAATTATTTTATTATATTACTTTTAAAAATTAATAGTCATAATATTATTTATAATTATAATTATTTAGGAAGGTGAGGAGGTGCATAATTAATAAGAGGTTATATTTATTTAATGAAAGATTAATTAGAGATAATGGCATATAGTTAGAATTTTATCAAAACTTGAGAGGACAAAAATAAAAATTAAAAGTTTTTATACCGCAATCCTATTTTTATAGTACTATAGATTATATAAATGTTATTAAAAATAACTTAAGATATATAAATGTTAAAGAATAAAAGAGTGAAACTGTAAAGTATTTAAGTGCTATTTAGCCAAATTTAAGTCATGTTTCATACAAAATGAGTGCGTTGTGCAATCAATAAATATACATAAACTTGATAGCTACTATGTGTTTCATCCATAGAAAACAATAGGGGCAGCTCCATATTTTGAGAGCTAAAATCTAAGACATCTCATTCAGTATGCGAAAATGTGAAGAAATGAAATATTTATTCTTACTTCTCATTCAAAGATAGAATGTTCATTTTCATTTCTCATTTATTTTCGAATTTTGTAAGAATGAGCATCCATAATGAATTGGTAAAGAATCAACATTCTCATTTAAGTGAGAATGAAAAGAAATTTGAATACATGTGAAAAATATTCTGATAACTAATTAATTATGCATACAAAAAATAAAAAGATTGTCATTACCGCTTACTTCTAAAATCGCACCTCTAAACATGAGAATTCTATTTCTATACTTATCCTATTTCGTTCCTTAATTCTCATACAAAACGAGAGAGACGTTATTCAAGTTTTTGATATTAGAAGTGAAAACACCCAAACCTGTTAAAAGCTAACCTACTAGAGTTTCATTTTTTTTTGGTAGAAAACTTGTGCCAAGACCTCAAATGAAAAAGCTCACGTGACAAGACCGTTCAACCTTCACCCTTTGTGGATCAGCACCAAAACAATGAAAACAAAGTTTCCAAGCTCATCCACATCACCGATATAGCCCATCTATAAGGTCTTTTAGCCGAAACCCTAAACTACCCCTCCCTACTAGCTTTAGAAGCACATTCTAGTCTCTGATAACAACGGCTATTAGATCGCATTTATGGTGATCTAATGGGGAAATTAGAGGGAAATAATGGTGCTTTCCCTCCCTTTTTCTCTCTCAAGAGCCATAACTCTCTCAATTAATGTGTTAGGATTTTTGTTCTTCAACAATGAGCTTTGCTACGGGGACCCAAAATATGGGACCAATAGAGGGGACAAGTGAGGTGTCCCCTTCCTATTGGATAATGAGTTGGCCATCATTAATGATGGTCAACTCATTATCCAATAGGAAGGGGTCACCTCACTTGTCCCCTCTATTGGTCCCATATTTTGGGTCCTTAAGGAATTTTTCTTCAACAATCAGTCCTCTTCTTGTCCTAGAATTTCCTCCATTACTCCCCCTAGCTTCCCTTCATTAATGGTTGGAAAGGTTTTCACCTGCATGATGTCCTTAGGTGAGAAAGTTGTATTCTCAATAATTAGCTCTTCAACCACCTTTATAGAACTGAAGTTTGATGTGTTGGTAAGGTTAAATAGGATTCTTTCATGTTTATATACAAGGATGAAACAAATGGCAACATTAGTTTTGCTATTGAGAACAAAGATAATTTGTCATGTATGGTGGTGTATAATTACAATATTAGGTGTACAAAGATTTATATGCAAACTATTCTAAATGTAGAAGCTTCAACTTCTTATAAACCCGAAAAAGTCATAAGAGATTATCCTTTATTTTCTATGAAATTTGTAGTTTTGGTTAAACAAGTGGTGGTGAAAAGATTATCATATATGTATCAATCACACTTGTAGCTATTAACTATGAGTAGTACATGTTAACAATCACAATCACGTGTTAACTTTATGGGTTGGATGTTAAGCATATGAGATAGTTGTTATATTTCAGAGACACATGTTAAGCACACGAATTATAAACTATTTCTTCAAATCAGTTATATGTTTGTTTTTCTATTTGTTGTTTATTTTGTCTTTTGACTATTTCCTAAACATGTAGCGTATTGCTCTTACGTTGAACTCACAATGTAAAGATGGTGTTCTCACGTCTACATGTAGTTCAAATATGATTCCTAATGATAACCATATTATAATGATTGATAACATGATCAGCAATATAGAGAGGATTCTCGCATGGTTGCGCACTACTTTAAGTGAAGAGGGACAACTGTTTGACAGCACGAAATAGTTAAGATTAGCTTTGCTATACTATTCAATAGCGAAAAAGTTTGAGTACGAGTTTGAAAAAAAACCAAAGCATATTTGAGTTTTTTGCTGATTTAAGAAAACTAAAAGTTGCCCCTAGATGTTTGCTTATCCTACTAGAAATGAAACAAGACTTGTTATAAAGAAGTTCGTGAATAATCACACTTGTCGGCAGCATGGTAACAATGTTGATAATTCAATAGCCTCTTTGCAAATTCATTGCAACCCAATTACGGCCTATGTTGAAGGTTCAACTAGACATCTGTCCTACTGATATGCAAAAGGAGTGTCTTAGTTAATACAGCCTAAGGATCGAGTACAATAAGATATGGTGGAGAAAAGAGAGAACACAAGAGAAGATATATGGTGATTCTTATGAGACGTACGATTAACTACGATAGTAAAAGGAAATATTATTGTTATATTCAAATAATATGTGTTAAGTAATTTTATTGCCTGTAAACGTTAACATTTGTATAAACTAAAAATAAATAAAAGGGAGGATAAAAAAACAACCACAGATTTATTTATAGGTATGAGGACAAGGTTAAGGAGACAAATCCAAATAGCTATATTTACATTGAACAAAAGCGAGGGAAGGTTTACACGGCTCTTCATTTGATATGTTGCTTGCATAAATTGTTTCTTGAGCGGATGTAGACCTCTTATATCTTTGGATAAAACCTCTTTGAAAGATCGATTCAAAGGTATACTCCTCAGCGCTATATCATACAACAGAAATTAGGGGGTATTTCCACTAGCATATTGCATATGTAGAAAAATAACATTAACTGTAAGTGGTTCTTATAAGGCTTGTGATATAATGAAAGGCTGGAACTGTTAGCACCCTAGAGGGGGGGTGAATAGGATTATTGCTAATCTTATTAGATATTAATACCGATTAAAAGTTATTAACAAATATATCCTAACAAAATTGATATTCAATTAATTATGGCAAGGATATATATGCAAATGGCAAAATGAACAAGAAACAATAAGAGTGATAGTGCGCAAATAAACAATGCAAACACACGATATGATCATGGAGTTCGGACCTTCCGTCCTACGTCTCCGCTCCCCACTCCCGGGGAGAAATCTACTAT